TTATTATTATTATTATTATTATTATTATTATTATTATTATTATTATTATTATTTTCACAAAATGACAGTATACACAGCAAACGAGATAATTATGCTGGGTTTCATATCACAAATGACTAGTCAAACACTTCCCAAGTGTTTAGGACTGTGTGTTGTATCAGTGGATTATTATTATTATTATTATTACTATTACTATTATTATTATTCAAAAAAATGACAGTATACACAGCAAACGAGATAATTATGCTGGGTTTCAAATCACAAATGACTAGTCGAACACTTCCCAAGTGTTTAGGACTGTGTGATGTATCAGCGGATTATTATTATTACTATTATTATTATTATAGCTCTCCAGCTATGACATCCTTCCCAATTATGGCATTGTGACTTTTGCCACCGAAAGCAGAATGGTTCTGAGTACAACTCATCCACGGAGTAGCGATGCTGACTGGGTGTCTGAACGGCTGGGCTCCATTACCATCGATGGTGAGCATGCTGGTTGTAAAAAAAGAAATGCAAATACAGTTAGTCTCAACTTACGACTGCAATGGAGCCCAACATTTCTGTTGTTAAGCAAAAGATTTGTTAATGAGTTGAATGAGTTTTGCCCCATTTTGCAACTTTGCTTGCCACAGTTGTTAAGTGAATCACGGAATTTCTTCAGTTAGTTATCTGGTCGTTAAGTGAATCAGGCTTCCCCGTTGACTTTGCTTGTCAGAAGGTCGCAAAAGGGGATCACGTGGCCCCCAGGACATTGCAACCATCATAAATATGAGTCAGTTGCCAAGCTTTTCCTTCCTCACATTATCATGGGGATGCTGGGATGGTCAATAAGCATGAAAAATGATCCTAAGTCACATTTTTCAGTGCTATTGTAACTTTGAACAGTCACTAAATGAATTATTGTAAGTCGAGGACTAACTGTATATATTTGTGCAGTGGCAGGCAAGCCTTCAAACTTCTGCCGTACGGCTGCCAAGGGCTTTTCTTTCAGGTACGAGGGCAACAAAAAATTTTTTTAATTTATTCATTTTAATCAGCTTCACACTGAAGTCCTATGTGGACCATATAAAGGTCATTTATTGACATTTATTACCATTGTATTTGTGGATAGTTGCTAGCCAAGATAATCCCAGAGGTGGGTTTTTTTTTCAAAAGACAACTGGGCTTTGAAAAACTTTCTGTTTTTTCTTTGAAGATGTTTCACTTCTCATCCAAGAAGCTTCTTTAGTTCTAGCTGAGTGGTGGAGGATAGAATAAAAATACATTCCTTGCAGTAATTGGTCTTTAGCACTCTCTCTGAGAGTCGTTGAGGCCGCTTGGACGTTTATCTGTGTCCTCAAGGTCACCTGAATAGCGCAAAGCATTTCCTGGAAATGCTAAAAGGACTTTGTTGTAAACAGAAGAGCGTAGCTGTTCCAAGGAATTTCCACACCCATTTGCACTCTTAAGGTGACCCTGAAGGCACAGTTAAATCTCCAAGTGGCCTCAATGACTATTAGAAAGAGTGCAAGGGATATAATAACTATAAGTCCTTCCATTCTCCACTATTCAGTCAGAACTGAAGAGGCTTCTCGGATGAGAAGCGAAATGTTTTCAAGGAAAAACAAAGTCCAGTTGCCTTTTGAAAAAAAGCAAACAAACCTTTGGGACAGCCATGATCTGGATGACTGAGAATCCCCATGGACAACTAATCAAGACAATTGCTAAATAGGAGCAGCTATATATCTCATGACAGTCTGTAATGGACTCATCAGGATTGAATTCCTGTTAACCATAGAGATGTTGTTTATTTCTTCTCTTGTTCCAAATACAGAAAAAATATTTGCAGCTCAGGGCTGAAAGGAAAGGTCTTTGGTGCTCTTGGATGAGCATACATTAACATCAGACCAACAATTAAGAAGTTGTAGAAAATTACCCCCTTCTCACCCCTTCTAGAAGAAAGATTTTAGGAAATATTAAACAGGCAAAATTATTATATTCCTCCTAAAAGAGAAATAGAAATCTTAAGGGAGGCAGAAACTCAGAGCCACAGTTCACTACTCCCAACCAGATACTAAACCAGGGGTGGGCAAACTACGGCCCTTGGGCCACACCCGGCCCGTTGGTCTTTTTAATCCGGCCCACCAAAGGTTGGTACAGAATTAAGGTTTGATGTGAATGATTGAATGATTGCATTCATTTGATTTTGATTTGTAATGACAGGCATTTCAACACCAGGTGGTGGCCCGTCTGTCAAATTTTAAAAGTCAATGAGGCCCCCGAGCCAAAAAGTTTGCCCACCCCTGTACTAAACTGAGGCCAGCTTTTACAAATGCAGATTTGGTGATCCATTCAAAACAGGATATTTTGAACAGAGGCAGAATTAGGTAGAATGGTAGGATCAGCCCTCACTCAAGATCCAAACCAGGAAAGCCCTTAAGACATAACCAATAGAATGCATGCTCTTGTCACAGGAACAGGAAGTTCAAGTTCAAAGCCCAGAGAGAGTGTAAATAACCCCCACTCTCCACTCCATATGGTCAGCTGCACAAGGGCCTCAAACCCATGCGGTCCTGTTCATCAATAAACCATCTTTCCAATCAGCCTCCATGTTTCCAGTGTTTTTCTCCCCACTTGGAACTGAACCAAGTGGGTATTTCTTCCAACAAAGTTGTTAAGGTACTGAAGATTTAATAGCTGACCAGCTGTTGCAAGGCTGCTGTAAATGCTGATGCAGTGAGGATGAGTCAGCAGAATTATTGCTGCTTTAAGACTGAGGATGGGTCAGCTGGGTTATTGCCACTTTAAGAAGCTAAGACCTCACTTTAAGTGAGGCCATGAGAGGGCGTCTCTCTCTCTCTCTCTCTTTTAGTGTTTTATCTCCATTGTAGTTCTCTGTGCAGAGTAATGAAGACTGATTGCTTGCCTGATATGTGCCTACCAGGTATATGTATGTATATGGCAGTCTTGTATATAAACCATTGTTAAAAGACAAAGCCTCTGTGTGCTGTGTTGTGCTCCTGGCTTGACTCACAATAGCAGTCATGCTGCAGACGCTCTGATAAAAGTAAACAATAACCCAATCAAGAAACTGCCAGAGAAGCCAACAGGAAACAGCCCAGCCAAAGAACCTCTAAGGCCAACCCCACTACCACAGGCAGGGCAAGGCATTAGAATATAAACTAAGAGAAAATCTCACTCCTCACACGCACTGATGGCGTTATCTGGTGTGGTAACGGAATGTCTGCAATAAAACAATCCAGCTCAGAGAGCACCAAGGACCCTTCATTTCACATTTCCCTCTGTTAGGCCTATTGGGACTTATTAAAACTGACCAAGTAATGCACTATTCAACTTTACATTTTGATTGTCCAGCACATGAGCTGAAGCCTGGAACCAACATCGCGAACGGCCTTCAATTTGTCTATGAAATGATGATTATGAAGGACATGGAAGAGAAGCGACGGGGGCTGAACCCCACTCCTGTCTCCACCACAGACCTTCATATCATTATCCTCCTAACGGACGGTGAGCAGATCAAGGGAACGATGCAAACCCTTGAGTTTTTTTGGTTGTTCTTGTTCGGTTGCTTTGAGAAAGAATTTTTAGAGTGCCTAAAAAAGATTATAAGAGGAGCCAGCAGCCATTTCAAATATTAAGCACCCTTTTATACAAGGGCCTCAACTAGTCTGGGAAGGGAGGGAGAGAAGAGAGAAAGGGAGGAAAGGAGGGAGGGAGAGAAGAGAGAAAGGGAGGAAAGGAGGCAGGAATAAAGGGAGGAGGGAAAGGGAAGGAGAAAGTGGGAAGGAGCAAAAGAGAAAGGGAGGGAGGGAGGAAAGGAGGGAGGAAGAAAGGAAACAAGGGAAGGGAAAGGGAGGGAAGGGGAGAGGAAATGAAGGGAGGGAGGGAGGAAAGAAGGCAGGAAGAAAGGGAGGGAGGGAGACAGGAAATGGAGGGATGAAGTAAAGGAGGCAAGAAGGAAAGGGAGGGAGAGAAAGGGAAGGAAGGAAGGAAGGAAGGAAGGAAGGAAGGAAGGAAGGAAGGAAGGAAGGAAGGAAGGAAGGAA